CGCTGTCCCACTGAGCTGTCCCACTGTTCCCACCACTGTCCCCACTGTCCCCACCACTGTCCCCACTGTACCTCTGTCCCATTGTCCCACCGCCGTCCTCGCCACCGCCTTCACCACTGTCCCCACCACCACTGTACCCTCCACTGTCCTATCAGGGGGACGTAAGACCTGGGTACAGAGGACTCGGAAATACCCGACGAGGTCGTCAAAAAAATGACGAGGCCGAGCCTGCATTTTGACGAGGCCTCCCGCTGCAGACATCCCACGAAACTCCTCCTCGTCAAAATCCGAGGCGCGGTCGTCAAAAAACGATGGCGAACCCGAGTCCTGGCAAACCCAGGTCTGACGCTCCCCCGATCCTACTGTTTCCACCACATTCCCACTGTCCCCACACCACTGTCCCCACCACCACCGTCCCCACCACTGTCCCACTGTCCCCACTGTTCCCACCATTGTCCTCACCATTGTCCCCACCACTACCGTCCCCACCACTGTCCCACTGTCCCCACCACTGTCCCGCTGTCCCACTGTCCCCACCACTGTCCCGCTGTCCCCTCACCACTGTCCCCACCACCACCGTCCCCACCACTGTCCGCACCCCCCCTCGGTTTTCGGGGGGGGGGTTCGAACCGGTAGTGACCCCCCCCGGTTTTCGAGTTCGAGGGGGGGGGTTCGAACCGGTAGTGACCCCCCCCCCCTTTTCATGATGAACTGGGGAGGGGGGGGGGGGGTTCGAACCGGTAGTGACCCCCCCCGGTTTTCCAGAGGGGGGGGGTGAGGGGTTCGAACCGGTAGTGACCCCCCCCCCTTTTTCATGATGAACTGGGGAAGGGGGGGGGGAGGGGTTCGAACCGGTAGTGACCCCCCCCCGGTTTTCCGGAGGGGGTGGGGGGAGGGGTTCGAACCGGTAGTGACCCCCCCCACTTTTCCGCCAGCAGCGGTAGAACACGCTCTTTCACATATTGGAGCACATATTGGAGACTGACCCCCAGGAGAGTTCACAGTCCCACATATCTTTGGCAGGTCGGTTGATGACTGCATCAAAAGACAGGTTGGATTTGGAAGATGGCGCTTACAACTCCTTCAACTTCAAGGTGCGCGCCTTGTTCTACGATGATTTCGTCGTCGTGGAGTCCACTGGCAAGTGCACTCGTATGCTCTGGGTATTTCTCGTGGGTTGGCGCACATTGCTCACTGGAGAGACGCAGGAGATTGAGGGCTGGGACAGCACGCTGAACGACATGTGCGAACATGCGCCGCGTACAACAGTCAGGCTGGCATCGGATCGCTTGAAAAACAGAGTCAGCGAACGGGCGCCGACGGACGGGGCAGTGGCAGTACACGAGCTAGTAGTTGAGCTGATGAAGTCGGATTCGAACGGGGCCCAGTGAGACTAATTACCTGCTGGGTCCCACGTGCATCCTCCTCCCTCACCCTCTGTCCTCCTCGCCCCTTTGCCTTCCCCTGCCTTCCCCTCCTCGCCTCCCTTCTTCTTCTTCTTGAAATTGCACTAAAACAAACAATATGTAGATAAAACGTCATACCGACTTGTTTATCATCTTGAACCTACAAAGCGAGAGGATAAAGACACCCCAGGGGAGGAGGAGGAGGGGGGGGAGGAGGAGGAGGAGGGGGGGGAGGAGGAGGAGGAGGAGGAGGAGGAGGAGGAGGAGGAGGAGGAGGAGGAGAAGGAGGAGGAGGAGGAGGACGAGGAGGAGGAGGAGGAGGAGGAGGAGGAGGAAAGTCATCGTTCTACCACGAGGAATGCCAACTGAAGAACGAGGGAGTCTTTCTGGCCCCAGCGAGCCCCGACATCCCCCCCCCACAACCTCCTGATTCTCCTTCTCCCAGTCCTCCCCTTCCTGCTCCCCCCCCCACACACATATCCTCCTGCTCCTTCTCTTGCATACTACTCCTCTTCGTCGCCCCTCGTCCTGCTCCTCCCCTCTCCGCTTTTTCTCACTCCGCGTTCCCCTCCTCATCCCTCCCGCCCCTCCGTGTCCTTCTCGGCGCCATGCCCCCGTCCTGCTGCCCGAAATCCCGCACAGGATGTTCGACCCTTCCAGGCTTCCCAGCAACAAAAAGCGCCACCTGCATCTTCCACGTCTGCACCTGAATCGGCTGCCCGAGGATTACGTGCGTCTCCTATCCAGGTGGTGGCAAGGAGGAAGAGGAGGAGAAGAAGAGAAGCACGATGAAGAGATGGATGACGATGATGATGCTGATGATGATGATGATGGTGGTGATGAGGATGATGATGATTATGGTGGTGGTCGGGATGATAATATTGATGCTGCTGATGATTATGCTGATGATGAGATGATGATACGATGATGGTGATGATGGTGGTGGTGATGATGAGGAAGAGGAGGAGGATGCGGAGGATGATGATGAGGGGGACTATGATGAGCAGATGATGATGATGATGATGATGATGATGATGATGATGATGATGATGATGGTGGTGGTGCTGCTGATGATGGCGATGGTGATGGTGACGATGCTGATGCTGCTGATGATGCTGCAGATGCTGGTGATGAGAACGATTATGATGCTGATGATGCTGGTAGTGGTGCTGTTGGTGATGCTGATGGCGACGACAATGATGAACATGAGAATGCTGATGATGCTGATGATGTTGATGCTGTTGAGGATGGTGACGATGATAATGGCTCGGAGGAGGATCATGAGGAAGAGGAGGGGGAGGAGGCGGAGGAGGGGGAGGAGGGAGGACCAGTGCAAATCCAAGGTCCAAGACACAACAACGATGTTGCAATTTGCCCTCTCTCTAAATGCCCGTTTCGTAAATCCCTACGAAGATGTAGATTGCGGGCAGTGCCCCACTTGAAGACAAAAGTTTCAGAATCCTCAACCGTCCCAAAACACCATTCCTGGACTTCCACGTCGTGAATCAACGTGATTGCTGCGTCCTCGCAATCCGTAACCGTGCCAGATCAGCACCCCTGGGACTTCAACACCACGAATCAACACGACTGTTGCGTCCTTTCAGCCCGAGGCCGTGCCGGAACACCGTTCATGAACCTTCAACCATACGAACCCGTGAACCTGTTGCAAGCTTTCAAGACGAATGTGCGCGACGCTAGGGCGAGAACCACAACTTGAAAAACACGTACTCCATCCTTGAAGCTGTTCAAAACTTGAATTAGGACTGCTCTGCGCGGCGCTAAGGTGATGTCCACATTTTGAACAGGGACTCGCCCTCCATCCGTGAAGCTATTGCACATTTCAAGCTTCAAGATCACAAATTGTGAGGAAGTCTCAGATGCAACGCCCGGCCAGCCCTACCAACACGTGTGGGGGTGCGACAGTGAGGAGTCTATCAGAAAAAAGGGATGGAGGAGGAGGAGGATGAGGAGGAAGAGGAGGAGGATGAGCAGGAGGAGGAGGAGGAGGAGGACGAGGAGGAGAACGATGAGCAGGAGGAGCAGGAGGAGGAGGAGAGGGATGAGAGTTGAGGAGGAGCCTGGTGCCTCCAAGCGCCTTGGCGCTCCCGAGCGCTCCCTGGCGCTCCCGTGCGTTCTCCCGGCGCTCTCAGGCGTCCCCCGACGCTCCCAAAACGCTCCCGCGCGCTCCACGGGCGCTCCCTGGCGCGGACCGATGAGCTGCAGCCGAACCCATGGCCACAAGATGGCGGGTCGAGAACACGAGCCGCTCCGACGAACACCCGGTGCGTGCCCCACGCAGGTGCCCCAGGCGAGGGGCATCCCAGGGCGGCGAGCCTCCGCGCAGAGAGGAGGGCGGCCCTCGCGAGCAGGGGCTGCTCTGAAGCCTCGTGCCAGCCCTTTATACCGTAAGACGAAGCCAGGACGAGGATAAGATCGGGGGTGGATCCATCGAAAATCTCTAAGATCCGACGATTCTAAGGGATGTCTGGGGCGCCGCGGCCTTCTCAGAGCGTTGAGGAACGCTCTGAGAGCGTTCCGGAAAGCTCTGAACGGATTGATCCACGTCCTGGCCCCGCTCGATGAACCCTCGTGCCAGCTGTTTACCGGCCGGCCGGCCCGACCAAAGCAGCCGTGCGGGCAATCAAGGGGGGCGCCAGCGGCAGAGGGCGAAGCCCTTAAAATTCACGCCCGGACCGCGAGGCACGTCCGAAGGCGGGGTCCCCGAGTTGGATTTTGAATGGCTCCAGGGTGGCCTGCAATATCCTCGCTTGGCCGCCAACGACCTCCGAGACGGCCCCGAAAAGGCCCCAAGACGGCCCAATCTTTTTTCTCCAGATGCCCCAACAAGCCCCCCGCCTTTTCGAGCTCCCGCAAACTCAAGATGGCGCAAAAGGCCACCAGAAGACTCCAACGGCGCCCCAAGATGGGCCAGAGGCGGCCCCAAGATGGCCCCAGAGACCTCCAATACGGCCCCCAAGGCCCCCAATATGGCCCCAAGAAAAGTTACAAGACGGGAAACTCGAACTAGCCTTGGAAGCTTTCCTCCAAAATGACCTCCAAGGCCCCAGGACCCCCCCAAATGCCCCCAAAGCGCCAGCAAACGAAAACCGTGAAGAGCATCGGAAGGCCCCAAACCAACCCCTAAGAGACCCCCACGAGGCCTTCACGAAACCCCAGACCAACTTCTAAGAAGTCTCCTTCACGCCTTCCCAAGGGGGAGAAAAGGGAGAAGAGTAGGAGGAGAAGGAACGAGGATGCAGGAAGAGGAGGACTTAACTGTGGACAGCGTGTATCAAATCAACTTGTCACGATACTCACTCATCTCCTACTTTGTCCGCTGGGCAGCTACTTACTGACCACGCTTTCGCTCAGGCCGTGAAGGACGCCCTGGTCGCCTGGCACCTCAAGACGCTTTCAAGCGACATCTGCGCTTTCGCATTTCACTCGCATGTGCGGCGCACTTCGCGCGCAGCGCCCCATAGCTTCTGATGAAACCGCATATCTGAAAATGACAAAGACATTCGGATGTCCGACTAGCGCAGGGAGGGCTGGCATCAATATAATGGTCCCCGTCGTGTTGCCAGAAAACGTCTCTCACAACAATGACCGACAGAGACCCCACCCTGTGTATGTCCACACGAGGTGCTTGGAAGCGCTGTGGACAATGACTGATATTGCCCTCCCCTCCAGAAACAATGCAGGATCGGAGGCGAAGAGGGTGATAATCGAAGGCTTGGGCGAAATACTCGAGCAACGGCAATTCAGAGACGAACAGCGATCACTCTCGAGCTGATCGCTGGTGCTGTTACTGTCGGTTCCGCCCTGGCACATTACCAGAGGAACAAACAACGGCATAAACATAAGCTTTTGGAGCTCCGCGAGGATTTCCTGGGTCTGCGCTGGAACCCCCTTCCTGGTACGCCTCCGGCGCCAGGAGCGGCGCCGTAGCCGCCGCCAGGGGGGCCCACCGCAGATCCAAGAAGTCCGCGCGGAGCGCCGAACATTTAGGTCTATGGCGTTTTTCCTTCTTCGAGCTCTGGCACGTTACCTCACCTCTGGGGAAACCAAAAGGTACCGACACCGCTACTCCCTGGACCTCTCCCGGGGCGCGTTCTGACCAGGATCTCGAGGCGAATCCAGCCGTGGCGACGAGGGCCTCCCAGGAGGCCCCCCAACAGCGAAAACCAGGCAAGGGTAGCGACTTGGGTACATTTTCTCTTGGGTCGGAGAACAAAAGCCTGCACAAACATAGAGTTTCGGCGCTCCGCGCGGAGCGCGCCGCCAGGGGTGCCCAGCGCAGATCCAAGAAATCCGCGCGGAGCGCCGAAAGATTATGTTCATGCCCATTTCTCTTCCTCCGAAACCTCAGACTGGTGCCAGCAGCATTCGTCTCGACGTCGAGGTGCCCAGCCTCGGGAAATCTGCCGCCCCCCCTTTGTGGGCGCGGGGCTGCGAGGGTGCTGGACTGCTGGTTCCCCTTTACCTTGCTCAGTCTTCTCTCTCTTTCCTGCCTCTCGTCTGTCGGGCGTCCTCCTCCTCCTCCTCCTCCTCCTCCTCCTCCTCCTCTTCCTCCTCCTCCTCCTCCTCCTGCTCACCACCACCACTACCACCGTAGGGTCGGGGGTCACCGAAGACAGCTCAGGACTGGAGAGACTCGGGCGGGTGGTAATAGGAGGTGGCTTGAATGAGGGGCGAAGAAACGGGCTCTAAAAGGGGCCCTCGCCTTTTGGAGCCAGCAGGGGCCCAAGAGGGGCCCTCAAGAGCTCCGCTTGGGCTCTTTTGTTCACCTCCCATTTAGGTCGCCCGCCATTACCACCCGTCCGAGTCTCTCCACTCCTGCGCTCTCTTCGAGGATCCCCCGACCATACGGTGGTGAGTAATTCGCTGGCGGAGAATAAGGAGGAGGAGGAGGAGGAGGAGGAGGAGGAGGGGGAGGAGGAGGAGGAGGAGGAGGAGGAGAAAGGGGAGGAGGAGGAGGAGGAGGAGGAGGAGAAGGAAGGACGAGGAGGAGGAGGAAGAGAGGAGGAGGAGGAGGAAGAAGAGGAGGACGAGGAGGAGGAGGGGGGGGAGGAGGAGGAGGAGGAGGAGAAGGAGGAGGAGGAGGAGGAGGACGAGGAGGAGGAGGAGGAGGAGGAGCAGTAGCATGAGCAGGAGGAGGAGGAGGAGGAGGAGGATAGGGATGATGACACCGATGAGGATGCCGATGGTGATATGATGTTACTGATACTGATGACGATGACGATGATAATGATGATAATGCAGATGATGCTGCTGCTGATGATGATGATGATGGTGATGAAGATGGTGGTGCTGAGTTTGACGTTGTTGATGATGATGATGATTATGATGATGATGCTGATGATGATGATGATGATCATGATGATTATGATGATGATGATGCTGATGACGATGATGGTGAGGGTGGCGATGCAATTGACGAATAACCTGTGCTGATGATTGTGATGATGATGGCGATGATGATGATGCTGATGATGATGATGATGATGATGATGATGCTGATGATGATGATGAGGATGATGGGATGATGATGAGGATGATGATGATGCTGCTGCTGATGATGATGACGGTGATGGTGATGGTGATTGTGATGCTGTTGGAGGAGGAGGAGGCGGAGGCGGAGGCAGAAGAGGAGGAGCAGGAGGAGAAGGAGGAGGAGGAGGAGGAGGAGGAGGAAAGGAGGAGGAGGAGGAGGAGGAGGAGCAGGAGCAGGAGCAGGAGCAGGAGTGTTGTGCTGGTGGGGCCAGGGGGGTGCAGTCAGAGAGACTGGCAGCCAGCGGCCTCGAGCGAAAACGCGATCATGGGAAAACGGGCACCTCCCAGGACGGGGGGGGAAAGGAAGCCAGAAGGAGGAAAGAGCGCCACCGTCAGGAAAATATGCAAATCTATACGGGAGCGGTCCCTGGGCCAAACCACCCTAGGCAGCATCCTCATCCGCCAACAAAGTTAGGACTTCGAGGTCCTCAAATTTGCGGTCGAGGGCGAATGCGCCAAAAGGGGTAGGTCTCAGGCCGCTTCCCGCACCCAGAAGCTCGGCACCACTGCGAAGGTGACGGCCGCGTCACAGCTTACGCTGGTGGTCCCAAGCCACGGACCCACGCGGGCAGTTTCCGTGGCAATCTTGACCGAGCTTTTGGGTGTTGTGTTCGCTGTGTGCAACGCAAGCACTGCAGAACACAAAATGGCCAACCGTGCAGATTCGGTGGCCTGCGCCTGGCTTGCACGGGCTAGCTCTCATGATCAGGACAACGCCTCCAGACCTCATGCACCTGATGCACCTGGAGCCACCCTCAGGAAACCAGACAGGGTCGTGAGCGCCATCGGGGGGCGCAGCATCGTCGGAGAGCCGAGGGGCGATTCGTCGCCCCCTCCGAAGCCCCACCTCGCGGCGGGTGGCCGACGACAGACTGGGCCCAGCAGCTCGGGTCGTCACCTGCCAACATACTGGACAAGCTGGTGAGACTTGACCACCCGATCTTGGGCCGGGTCGCAGTATCTGCAGGGTGCATCTGGGCGCCTCGGCGCGCCGACTCGAGGGTAGCTCTATTGCCGAGGTGGCGCCGCCTGGCCCTGCCGTCGCGGCCATCGTCGCGCACGCGCGCGTGACCTCGCACCTTGACGGCAGCCCCCCCTCCCCCCTTCCCAGGGTCCCGAACGCGGCCCCGCGCCCCCTCCCACAGGTCAGCGCGCGCGCGCAGTGCACCCGCGGTCTCGGCGCGGCGTTTGCGGAAGCCCGAGACAACCCATTCACAATCTGAGAGGTCCTCGCACGGGCCGAGACCGACACTATCAAAAGACATCTTGAGCGCAAGAAGTTCGGCCACCTCGGAGCGCTGACTTAGACCTGGGAGGGGGCCGCGCAGCGAAGAGATCACGTCGAGCCCGCTCGAATTTACTTGGGTCACTCCCCAGCCTGCTCGGCGCAGCCTGGGGCCGCTTGCCATCGGCGCGCGACGCGAAGCACCCCCGAAGCGCGGCCCCTCGGGGCGGTTCTTCGCCCCCTTCCAGGAGCGAACGCGGAACGAGATGGTCGCGCCGATGGGCCCGCTCGCGCGCGCAATGCCCCCGGCGCCAATGACCCCCGCCCAAGGCCCCCCCCCGCGCATGGAACAAACTGGGCCATCACGTAAGCCCACGCTGCGCAGCCTCTCATCTCCCCAGAAACCGCCGGCAGCCATGCGCCTGAGCGTGGCCGGGTGCAAACCAGACCGGTCCCCCCTAGTCTTCTGGGAGAGGGGGGCTTTGATGGGGGGCGAGGTATGGGGCGCGGGGTAGGCCAGTCATGCGGCCCTCTTCGCATCGGGTCCCTGTCGAGCAGCCGCGCCTCAACCCACTTGAGCGATCTCTTTACATTGCGTGGGCAGTCGCGGCGCAGATCTGCGGCGCCCCACCTAGGCCGCGCAAATCCCCCCCGCGCCCTGGGCCCGCCCCGAGGGCCCTGCCCATCCTGAAACAAGATGCGAGCGCGGCCGCCACTTGGCCCGTCACGTGGCACCAAGGATTCTCGGCCCCTTAAAGGACCATGCCGGCGGCAAAGAGCATTCGACTGAGGGTTCCCCTGCACGTGTAGGCGGGGTCGATGGCGGCAGCGTCTCCAGGGGCCAGCGCAAAGAGCGTCTGGCCGCGCGGGGAGCGAGGGGGGCCCTGGCGGCCACGCAGGGCCATCGCGCCACCCCAGGATCCCTCAATGACCCCGCCACCCCGGGTGCCGACCGGAACGAGCCCCAGGCGGAGCAACTGCTTGCGCCTGCAACTCGTCCTGCGGCAGTCCTGCGCAACGCTCTGATCTTTACGCGCCGCCTCTGCACTTTCGCGCCGACGAGCTTGCCGCAGGCGAAGTCGCAGCCGTGGCCCCTCGTCGAGCGATCCCGCGCTTGCACGAACGAAGGGGATCTGCGGCCGAGCTCCTTGGCAGCTTCGAAGCCGTCGCTTGTGAGCTTGCTATTCTTCTCGTTCACCATCAGCCCGGCCCCCTGCGCCTCGCCCCATGCCCCGCGGCGCGCTGCGCCGATCTGCTGCGCGACCGTCATCCGCGCCCCTGACGCCTGCATCTAGACGTCGTCGCCCACGTTGCCTACCGAGCTGCCTGGCATCAGTGCCATGCCGCCCAGGATGGGGATGAGGAAGCTGCGCATCATGAAGTCGGCGAAGGAGCAGCCTGCCACGTCGCCGCGCCTGGGCGCCAGCAGCTCGATCACCGCCCCTTCGCATGAGAGCAGCCGCGGCATCGAGCACAGCATGATCAGGAACCTCATCAGGCACGCCTGACGCCGAGGCCCTTCGCTCGCCCCAATAGCTCGCTCCTGCGGATGCACTCGCGCGCCTTGGACAGGCCCAGCAGGACGGACAAAAACATGTCTTCTTGTTGATCGTGGCCCACTCACCTGCCGCGGCCCCGACATGTAGCCGCGCGTGCTCAGGTCTGCCCGTGGCGCGCCTGCCGCCATCAGGTTTGGGAAGGGACGCCCCCCGCATGACCCGAATCGCGTCGGGCACGAACCCGATCCTCAGCGTGGCGCTCCGCAGTGTGCGGAGGGCCTGGAGGGCGTCGTCGCCCAGGAAATCACGCGCCTCGGGTGGGCCACGTCGCAGCGGAAGCCCGTGGCCGAGCAGAAGGCGTGGGCGACCTGCCTGACGTCATCGATGGAGGGGACCGCGACCTCGCCGATGTGGCTGGGCCACTTGACTGCTTCGATCCCTTCGCCTTGGCCCCGCAGCTCGCGCCGAGGCTTCGCAGCATCTCTGGCCTCTCTCTCCCGCGAGCGCCGGGACAAGCCGCGGCGCTAGCGCAGGCCCGCGGCGCGTCCTGCTCGATCCAGCGGCAAGCGGAACGCCCGTCGCAGCCCACCCTCCGATGTGGAGCCGCGGGGCCAGTCGACCCAGGCCTTGCATCTGCGATGTGAGGCCTGGCTGGCAGCGCAATTAGCGCAGGTCTCGAGGTCATGCATCAGGAAGTCCAGGCCCTCGTCACTGAGTGATCCAGTCGCCGAACCAGCGACCCCCATGCTTCCCGCATCTCGGGCCATCGCGTCTTCCGCGGCGGCGCGAGCTTCATGGGGCGGAGCTCTAGGCCACGAAGCCTATGTCACCCAGAGGCTGATCCGCTCCTTCTGGCCGCATCTCGCCGCCAACACCACTCCCGCGGGCGTTGGGCGAGCCATTGCTGGGGGCTCTCGCAGAGGCCCGCGGCCCCCCGGCCCTTCGCCTGACTGCGGCAGTGCGCGAGGAGGGCGGAGCTGACGATCGGCACGCCGTCAGCGCGCCCACGGCGTCGCTCAGGTTGGTCCACTCCGAAATGCTGGGCGAGCTAGTCCTCGCACCTCCCGAGCCACAAGCTACAGGACTCGTTCAGGTCCTGCATTGAAGTGACCGCCTCCGCTGCCACCTGGGCCTTCGAGGATGA